TCAAGAGTATCAAATGTGAAGAAGTTCAAGCAGAAAGAGGACTATGAAAAGACAAAGTTCTAGGATCTCTTTAGCAAAGAAAGACAACTTTCCTCAAAATTCTCCCATACCAAAATATTTCTATCCAGCTTTTAAATAATTCTCCTGGTGACATCAAATGCCTTATCAAGTCCTAAAGGGTCATGTGCTCTGCACTCCAGTGACTTCATAAACCCACAATAGTAGAGCTATTCCAGTCTTGTTTTGTGATTTGTTTGGCTCTTTTTTGCTTCTTGTATGACTGCTGTCTTTATTTTTCTTTTCGACTTCCATTTTACCTTTCTGCTGACCTTCATGCTGCTATATTTAGCAACATAACCCAAATTTGCCTATCTTAGAGGCACACAACTGTGAAAACCCTTTCCTATTATTGAGGATGTGCTCTGATTCTTCTTTTTATTAATAAGAAGCTTATTGTCAACTGGTGCATGTGCTCAGGACACATGAATTTTACACATGCTGAACTCCTGGTATAATTTTACTGTGGCCTGTCCATTTCATTGTACACTCAAATGGTCCTACTGTTTGGGGACCCATCTTGTTTTAGCTGTGTAGTGTTCCAGTTAGCTTTTCCTTACCCCTTACTGCTTCATTTCATAAATGGGGAAATAAAAATAAGTCATTCTTTTAAGCAATAGTACCAGAAAAATGAAGAAATATCCTTTCATTTGCCCCTTTTAGAGCACTAACAGTTTGCACGTTCTTTGAGTGAATTTATCTGTAAAAACTACATACGATGGCTTGTATGCATTTTATTATGCTTTTAAATTTGCTTTCCTTTTTAGTATTTTATTATTACCTAATTTACATTATGTTTAATATCAAATGTGTTATTTTGGAATCACCATAATCTGAGAGCAGAGAAGTATAAAGGCTATTGTAGTACATAATTAGTTTGATATGATGTGTTATAAAATAATTATATATAACTGTATTCCTAGACAGGTCAATGTTATGTTTTTAAATTGAGATCATCTAGTGAATAACATATGTATGGCAACCCCATTAAAATTCAATTTAATTAAAATTTTTGTTGAAATGTATTAATAGCCTATAGTAGAACTACTTAATTTATGAAGATTGATTATGATTAAAAAGAGAAGTTATGGCTGGGCGCGGTGGCTCATGTCTGTAATCCCAGCACTTTGGGAGGCCGAGGCAGGCAGATCATTTGAGGTCAGGACTGACCAACATGGTGAAACCCTGTCTCTACTAAAAATACAAAAAAAAATTAGGCGGGTGTGGTGGCACATGCCAGATACTCAGGAGGCTAAGGTAGGAGAAGTCCTTGAACCTGGGAGGCAAAGGTTGCAGTAAGTCGAGACTGTGCTATTGCTCTCCAGCCTGGGAGAGAGAGTGAGATTCCATCTCAAAAAAAAAAAAAAGAAAAAAAGAAAAATTATTTAAATTATAAAAATAACATTATATATTGATGAAATCAAGGTTCCCAGTATGGCTATACAGCTTACCTTATAATACTTTTTTCAACAGTTTCATATTTCATTCTTTAAAAGAAGAGCAATGAAAGTTTTACTAACTTTAAATGGGAGAAAAGATGACATGTACCATCAAATTCCATTGTATGTTGTTATGATAAATGCCAATAATTTGCTCTTTTTATGGATGACTAAATGTATAAAATACCAGACACTAGTTTTAAAATTGATAAGAGATTGACATAGTTACTTCCATAGACATTTTTATTTCTCTTCATTAGATGAACACATGTTTATTTTTAGATGAGGAAATGCCCAATGTTTTTGATATTTCTCTTTATAGGAATTCCAAATCAGTTATAAGATAATAAGGCATCGTCCTTCACATGTCATACCAGAAAACTGAAACATATATGTACTTTTTTTCCCTTAGAGTCTAACTCCAAATACAGAACAACTTAGGACTCAGAGTTACTAATATTAATTTAAAACTTTAACAACACATTTTCATCATAATTATAAGTTTAGATTTGGTTCACCTAATCTTAAATATAATATTACTAGTAACTGGGAGAAAGAATATAATTGGTTTTTAATTTCATTTAAGGAATAAATTTAAAAAAATTTATTTAAGGAAAAATAGTATTTTAAAAAGGAACTGTTGAGGCTGGGTGTGGTGGCTCACACCTGTAATCCCACCCAGCACTTTGGGAGGCCAAGGTGGGCAGATCGTCTGAGGATAGGAGTTCAAGACCACAGCCTGGCCAACATGATGAAACCCATCTCTACTAAAAATAAAAGTTTAGCCAGGCATGATGGTGGGTGCCCGTAATCCCAGCTACTCGGGAGGCCAAGACAGGAGAATTGCTTGAACCCAGAAAGCAGAGGTTCCAGTGAGCCGAGATCTCATCATCGCACTCCAGCCTTGGTGACAAGAGGGAAACTTTGTCTCAAAAAAAAAAAAGAAAAAATAATTGTTAATAATGACCAAATTGTTATCAACTGTTAGCAAACAAGGCAAAGCACATGCACAAAATACTTATAACTACTCGATTGGATATTAATTTAAAAATTATACTCAAAATTATGAAATGTGGATGGCCCTAATGTGGAAAATAACAAAACCTCAGGCTTGTTAGACGTGTTGTCCATTGTTCATGGCTTCTAAGGGTTTCGTTCTCATCACTTTAATGCATATATCTTTTATATTGTTCAATCGAGCAAATGATGCCAGGCGATCTTCTCAAGTTATTTAGATATGTTACTCAAAATTATTATATATTACTTTAAGTGTTTTGCTCTTGAAATGGTTGATCATTTTATCCTTGAAGCTCATATTTTCTTGGTTTCCAACCAAAATGCTCAACAATAAAGGAAAGATTAAATAACTTATGGTATGTTCATTTAACAAAAAACCCTGCAGTTATTGTATATTGTATATGAAAATATGTGAAGGATTTTTAAACTGAGGAAAAGAAGAGATTTGTACTAGATCTGTTTAGATTAGGTGAAACAGTCTTTTAATAGAAATTAAACCTCCCGGGCTTGATGGGGAAGAATTTGCAGTCTGGGTTTAAAACAAGGAACAGTCATAGTTGACAAAGTCTGTAGCATTCTTTGGGAATATAAGGGTAAACCGAAGTGGGGCTCATTGGGACTGGAAAAGGTAGGTGACTGTGAGATTAGGTAATTGACTGTGCTGTTGATATGAATATGAAAAGTCTTGGGATAGTGGCAGAAGTTCCAATGAACAGTAAGACTTTAACCTAGGTGTCAAAATCTTTTTTTTTTTTGAGACGGAGTCTCACTCTGTCACCCATTTTGGAGTGCAGTGGCATGATCTCAGCTCACTGCAACCTCTGCCTTCTGGGTTCAGGCAATTCTCCTGCCTCAGCCTCCTGAGTAGCTGGGATTACAGGCAGGCGCCACCATGCCTAGCTAATTTTTTTTTTTTTTGTATTTTTAGTAGAGACGGGGTTTCACCATGTTGACCAGGATGGTCTCGATCTGTTGACCTCGTGATCCACCCGCCTCGGCCTCCCAAAGTGCTGGGATTACAGGCGTGAGCCACCGCGCCCGGCCAACCAACTCTTTCTTTTTTCTTTTCTTTTTTTTTTTTTTTTGAGAGGGAGTTTCGCTCTTGTTACCCAGGCTGGAGTGCAATGGCGCGATCTCGGCTCACCGCAACCTCCGCCTCCTGGGTTCAGGCAATTCTCCTGCCTCAGCCTCCTGAGTAGCTGGGATTACAGGCGCGCGCCACCATGCCCAGCTAATTTTTGTATTTTTAGTAGAGACGGGGTTTCACCATGTTGACCAGGATGGTCTCCATCTGTTGACCTCGTGATCCACCCGCCTCGGTCTCCCAAAGTGCTGGGATTACAGGCCTGAGCCACCGCGCCCGGCCCAACGAACTGTTTCTTAATTGCTCAGACTGTTGATAAATAATCCAGCCCTGCTGCTCTCCACAAACAATTTGCTTTGGATCAGACCAGGCAATTCAAACAACACTAATTACAGTGAAACCTCTTTGTATGAATTTCTGTTTGTCACGGGGCAGAAAGCCCCTTTATAAAGAGTTAAGGCACTTTATTCTGATTTTTGCCTGAAACATAATACCTATTACCTGGGCTCAAGTTATAGTGAATAAATTTTGATTGAATAAAAATAAAGTTAAAAATATCTCATATGTATCTCATTGCTTTTATTGTTCATTGTACTGTCATGAATTATATTAATTTTATATTTTTAATTAAGAGCAGATGGGGAAGCTTTATTTAAAGTAATATTTTCATTGAAAGAAGCTACATTGCCAAATGATTTACTGAAACAGAAATTTGGATATTAATAGATAAATGTGTCTTTACTAGAGAGAAACCAACACTTCAGGAAGTCTTTACTATATCAAGGGATTTGCTGTAACATGATATCATTGTATTTATGATTTTATGGTGTTAAAATGAATATTAAATGAAACAAAATTCCCAAGGATTACTCAGGAGGCAGCTAAGTACATAACATTTTGCATAGATGGTTGGAAGGCACAATTTTGCTCCATCACTGCATCCATATCCTTGAATGATTTCGACTGAAGACAGCATTTCTTTGAATTTTTCATTAAACCAGACGTCTTGAAATATGAATTCCTTTTATGTTTCTGTGAGTTTTGGCTAAAAGAACCCCAGTGAATAAATCATACAATACTACATGTCACCAGCACTTGTGAATATTTCTGCTTTGTTATTCTATTCTCAGTAGAGCACCATTGATTATCAAACTCAGCGGAGAGCATTTTATGATCATATATCTCCATTAGCTCCTAGTTTGACTACCATAGATTTTTCTGGTTAAGGTTGCATTATGTATTAAGAAGCCTATCTCTTCAATACAACGTTTGATTTCATTTTTCTAAGGCTAGAACTCTTATTATGTATTATGTATAAAGATTCTTATCTTTTATATGTAAAAATAGGCTGCACTGTCTTTGTGTAACTGAAATGTATGCCATCTTTTCTTCTTGATTCACAGGTAGCACATTATACTATGATGATGAATCTCTACAATGCAATGGCTGTCAGGGTAAATATTTCTTCACTTGTTAAACAAATGAAAAGTCAATTGTGCCCTGAATTTGCTTTTAATAAAATGAGCAAAGCAGAATAATGCAAATTTGATTGATATGCTAATGGTAAAGAGAGAAAGAGTATGTAGTTAAAAAGTTAGTTATGCTAAATAATCTTGGCAGTATTAAAAATTAGAGTAAAATGTAAAACATGTAATTATAAATGCTTATGTTTTAGAATGTTAAATATCTCTGAGCCATAACTAGAGAAAGACTTAAATATTAATGAAGTAATGTATTAGTTTCCATATGTCATATAGAATACATTGTGATAAATAGATGAACATGGTTCTGGAATATAAGATGCCTGCCCAATACAAATCAATTAGAAATTATTAATATGATTTAACAGTAATGAAGTCAGTTTCCAGCTTAGAAGTTTTATTTCTATCATTTCTATGTTCATCTTTAATGCGTTATTTTCCTAATAGAAAACTGAATTTAACAATTATGGAGCTTGAACTTGGTTTCTGCATTCATCTTGAGAATGGACACAGCAAAAATATGATTTCCTTTGTTTCAGACAATAGGATAATAATGTAATTGCTAAGCTATTATAAATGGAGAAATTTCTTAAGTGAATTTTATTAGTGTCCTTAAAATCTATGTTGCTTTATATTCTCTTTCATTAATCTGTTAGTTCTTCTGCAAATGATGGATTTTATTTTGAGTGAGTCAAGGTAGTAAAATCCTTTCTGAAAGTGCTGGGGTAAACCATAGTGGGTAAATTAACATTGTATTGACTATGTATTTTGCTTTGGAAAGAGGCTAACCTAGATACCAGTAGCCGAAGTTTTATTTCTAATAAATGCAATTCTGCTTTATTAGTTCATAACCTACCTGGTAACTTACTTCAAAATAACGACCCTAGAAGAGATGTAAACATGATTGGTGAGTGTTCAGAAAAAAAATCTCTAAGGGTATCTGTATGGCCAATAATATCCTGGCAGATATGTATGTACCCAAATTATGACTAAGATCTTCATGTACAATATATAAGAACAAAACTTTTGTCTTAATTTTCCTTGTGAACAAAGCCTATTATAAGTTGTATATTTGGGTATTGACAGTTACCCTGACAACCAAAATGTATTCAATTGTCAAAGAGCCTAGTGGAGCATTTCTGAAATGACAGGAGTTTTACAAATGTATTTATAGCCTGTCCATCCCTAAATAGATATCACTCTTTTGTAATGAAGAACAAATTATATGTATGTGATTTTCTTTTGTGTAATAGATATTAATGTCCTGATTTGCTGCATTTATTTTTTAAAAGGTCACCTTCTCTCTAAAGACTTTATGAGTCCCCTACCCCTGTAGAATTCATCACTCCTTTTTTATGTTCCTATTTTATCATCGACGAACTTCTGTTATAGAACCTGTAATGTTTACATGCCTGTCTCCACCCCACCGCCCCTGCCTCCCTACACACTGTAAGTCTCTTGAGGCCCAGATACTATCTTCTTCATCTTTGTATCTTCAATGCTTGGCTTGTGGTAGGTGGTTAAATAAATATCCTTGAATAAATCAATGAATGCTGGCCCATTTTTTTCTAAACAAGGAGTGAAAAACATCCTTTGCTTTGAATACATTTTTTCTAAGTTTCAAAGTGCCTTTGTTGGAAATTATTTAAGCCTTTGCTGGGGGATCTTTAAGGCTTTTTTGATTATCTGACTGTGCTATGTGATGTAGATAAACTGGACTTGGTAAGGTACAATGTAGTTCGTGCAGTTGACATGTAAATGGAAGACTTCCTGAGATGTAGGATTTTGGTGAAGTATCGTAACACATACCGAGTTGAAGGAGGTTTGCTATGATATAAGCTGCTGTCAGAGCCCACAGTTTGCCTTTACAAAACCCCTCTTGCTGATTTGCTGCTAGGCCGGTGACAGTCAATTAATATAGCAATAAATTGCTCCGTAAATTTTTATCTTAGCTCCTGGGGCCCTATTCCTCCTCTTTCTCTGTGACACTTTATTTCCTTTTTAGTCTTCAATTTGACTTTACTCCAGATGAGAGTTCTGCTTTTCCTCCAGCATCTTGTCTACTCCATTGTGGATCTCATTTAAATTTGGCTCCCAACTTTTCTTTTCAGTTCTCTTACTTTGAACAGCTTTTAGTATCTTATGCAAACTCCATGAGCTGATTCAGTTGCTCAGGCCATTTCTCTCCCTCTACCATCTAGATGTACAATTGTATATATTCTGACAGCCTTGTGTAAAATTGACCCTCCATTTTCCATGTAGTGAGCACGTGGGTGTCACCTTAAGCCCACCAGATGCTGGGCTAAGAGCATCTGGCTCCTGACAATATTATAAAGATAGGGTAAGAATTACTTATATGAGGAAAACCCATTTAAAAATATTCCCAGGTAGCAAATGAGTAGAGTTTAGTGGAGTTATTTTATCCATCCGAAGGTCTATTTATTTTCCCTTTTTCCCATTACCTTGATTCATGTTTTTCAATATTTAGTGTTTTCTCTTGCTTATGGCTTTTGCTGATTGGCTGACCCTATCCAGGAAGAAGTCTCTCATACAAAATGATGTATATCTTATACTCAATTCTTACATTTGTAAAGGGAAATAACCCAAGACCAAGACTATATACATTCAGCCTCAAACTTGTTACTGAAGTCTCTATTTTTCCAATAGAATGACTGCAGATTCTGAAACTTATTCCTTAAGAATAAAGAGATACAGGTGCGGGATACCTGAGTGTACTGTAATCAAACTGACTGCCAGCGAGAAAGCAAGGATTTAAAAAAGGGAACTCACCAAATTCTGCACTTAGGTTAGACTGTGCTCTAGCCAGACTTCAGTGGATTCTGTTTCCTTGGTTCTCCCTCTTTCTAAGGACTTCTTATTTTATCTGTACCCACTACTAGGTCAATGCTCCTTTGATTTGTGGTGCAGGATTTTTCTTGGCACCTTTGCAGAGGTTATATAGCAGGAGGTGCCTTGTCTACTTGTCTACTCAGCCTGCCTGGCTGTGCCTGGCTTGTACTCCAGCCTCTGGCCGCAGCGATTGCATACTCAGTCCCTGGGGAGAGCGGGTGTGTGAGAAAGTGAGTGAGGGGTCTGGCCAGCCATTCCCAACACCGGCACAGGAACAGGCTCCATGCAGGGCTTGCAGATGGACTAGTTATTTTGCCCCGAGGGGAACATAGTGGTGCTAGACAGGGGTGCCCGCAACCCCGGAGCCCCAGAAAGGGTATTACAACATGCAAATTTGATTTTATTCCCACTATCTGCAGCTGGATGGATGGTGGCATGTGAACAGCTGGGTCAGCCCGTTGCCCTGCTCTGGCCTGCGGCACCGGGGCTGGCTTGGCCCCACCACTGCTACCTGTGATGTGGAGCAGCTGCCTGAAGGTGGTCTCCCTCACCCGAAATTAGGTCGTCTCCCCCACTGTTGCTGAGTCTGGGCTTTTTATAAGCACAGGATAGGGGACGGGCGGGCTGTAGGTAATATTGGAAAAGGCAATCGTCAACTGTTTAAAAAACATAATTGAGAGGCCGGGCGCGGTGGCTCAAGCCTGTAATCCCAGAACTTTGGGAGGCCGAGGCGGGTGGATCATGAGGTCAAGAGATCGAGACCATCCTGGTCAACATGGTGAAACCCCATCTCTACTAAAAATTACAAAAAATTAGCTGGGCATGGTGGCGCGTGCCTGTAATCCCAGCTACTCAGGAGGCTGAGGCAGGAGAATTGCCTGAACCTAGGAGGCGGAGGTTGCGGTGAGCCGAGATCGCGCCATTGCACTCCAGCCTGGGTAACAAGAGCGAAACTCCGTCTCAAAAAAAAAAAAAAAAAAAAAAAAAAAACATAATTGAGAAAGAACCAATTGGGAAAAACTGGGCAAACAAGAACAGAAGTTCTCTCTGTGGGTCACAGGTTTTATCTGGAACCAGCAGTCTGGTCTTTCAGCCTTCCGTCTGTTTTCAGCTTGAAGGTGGAGTTTCACCAGGGACCCGCCCCTATCTGCTGAGGTATTTGTCTGACTCCTGCTGCAATTATTTGGCTACGTTGAGCTTTGTAGAGAAGAAGGATGGGGAGTAGATTAGTAATGTTCCAAGAGTGAGATTACAATGTGTTCGAGTGTGAGGGAAAAATTAGACTTATTTTTTCCTACATGGGATATAACACTGTTTTCAACTGAATGCCGGACAGTTCTCCCAAAACATAATTGTTTCTTTAATGAAGTTTATGCTAATGTTAGTAAATTCAAAAGACAAATTTGTTTATTTCAACTTTGTTTTTTTTTTCTTTTTCTTTTTTTTTGAGACGGAGTTTCGCTCTTGTTACCCAGGCTGGAGTGCAATGGCGCAATCTCGGCTCACCACAACCTCCGCCTCCTGGGTTCAGGCAATTCTCCTGCCTCAGCCTCCTGAGTAGCTGGGATTACAGGCAGGCGCCACCATGCCCAGCTAATTTTTTGTATCTTTAGGAGAGACAGGGTTTCACCACGTTGACCAGGATGGTCTCGATCTCTTGACCTCGTGATCCACCCGCTTCGGCCTCCCAAAGTGCTGGGATTACAGGCGTGAGCCACCGCGCCCGGCCAACCAACTCTTTCTTTTTTCTTTTCTTTTTCTTTTTTTGAGACGGAGTTTCGCTCTTGGTACCCAGGCTGGAGTGCAATGGCGCGATCTCTGCTCACCGCAACCTCCGCCTCCTGGGTTCAGGCAATTATCCTCCCTCAGCCTCCCGAGCAGCTGGGATTACAGGCACGCGCCACCATGCCCAGCTAATTTTTTGTAATTTTAGTAGAGACGGGGTTTCACCATGTTGACCAAGATGCTCTCGATCTGTTGACCTCGTGATCCACCCGCCTCGGCCTCCCAAAGTGCTGGGATTACAGGCTTGAGCCACCGCTCCCGGCCTCAACTTTGTTTTATGCCCATTTCATATTGTCTGTGGTGCCATTCACACTTTTGATATCAGTTTTTGATATGAAATGTTTATCATCTTGTGTATCTTACGAAGAGTTCAATTGTAAGTAAATTAATGTGGCAGCTAATTTTTGAAAAACAAAATGGATCTCTGAAGCTAGGCAAGAAAAAGATTGCCATGTCATCCATTCCCAAATCTTGGTAGGTCAGAACCACTGGTAAATAATAATAATGAGTAACAGTTGTATTGCAGTTACTACTTTCCAGGTACCATTCTAAGTATTTTAAATATTTTGACTTTTCTCTGTAATCATAATAACCAATTCTCTGAGGTGTAGGAAAACTGACCTTGTGGCCTGATGATTCATGAGTATCCTTATTGCTTGTACATTTTATGCAGGAATTCTAAGTGACAATTAGTTAAGGACTAAGTTGAGGCATTCCAAGGCAGTGTCACATGCTTCCCCTTGTAGGCAGAATTAAATGACTCTTTAAAAAAAAATCCTCACCATCTAAAAGAATATTCAGGCTGTGGCCTCCCCCATTCCTATTGTTAACATCAGGAATTGTCATCTGTCATAAGCCTAGATGAAACACCCTTCCTTTCTGCTCCAATTGTAAATGGATTTTTGTGTAGGATGTAACAAATGACAACAGAGGGAATTTGTCATTTCTTTTCTGTTTGAAGTCCTGGGTGCAGATCACACAGATTTTGAAATTTAAAAGTCTGTATTTAGCTTCATTTATACCCCTCCCTTGCCAGTTTTGGGCCCGAAGCATCAATGGAAAAGAAAAGGGGACTCTAACATTTTTAAAACATTAGGAACAACCACAAAATTGTTATTAGGACTGATATAGTCAAGTGCTTTTTCTAAATTAATGTTTAGAGTATACTAGTCTTCAATAAACTAAACACAATGGGGATATATAATCTGGCACAGACCCTGGAACGTAACAAAGGTAAAGTCTATGGGAAATATTTGTTCCTTGTAATGCCTTTGAAAAGCCTCCATTGTATCATCTCATACATCTTGAGTCTTCATTTGCTCGTCTGCCCTACAACAAATGGAGCAGTATCACATGAATGCAAATTTCAAGAAATGCTGGTGTGCAGCATCCTAGCACTCTCTCTTTTAAAATGAATTCCGTCATATGTTTTTATCTTAGTTTCAAAGATCTGTGAGGAATGAAAAAATGGTAATAATCAAAAGCTTACAGAGTGTTCAAGAACTACAGATGTAATTAATTGTTTCAAGTAAAATTCCTTTTACCCTGGAATCCTTGTACCTGTTACTGATCAATCACGTAGACTTAGTTGGTGAAATTCCACTAGAATTTGGAGAATTTCAATGGATTCTGTATTATTTTAAATTATTTAACTTGATTATAGCAACCCAGACAATTTTGTTCAGATAGAAATGCTCACATTTAGGGAAAAGAAGTAATAGTAACAAGAGGAACAGTAGAACAAAAGTCACTTAAAACAACAAATTTGCAAAATAACATCACTTTATTGGCTCATTTCCCTTAGAGCTTTCTCCATATATAATAAAAATTTTAATTTACAAAAATTAATCTGACGATATATCAAGTAACCATTTTCTTTTGTTTCCCACTTGTGTCTAAAATACCACAGAAAAAAAAAGATTATATGGTAGCGTTACTTAAAAATGATTAAATATGTGTCAGATATATAAAGATTCTTCTGAATCCCTAAAGAACTTACAATACTATTTTCATATTAATAATACTATGAAGTAACCATTTGTGTTTAGAATAATGACACCAAGATTACATAGCTATAGATAGATAGGTAAATTAATGCAGAAAGGATATAGAAGGTCTTTTATATCCTAGACATTTTGTTATGGTTCTGGGAATACAGAATGAATAACACAGTTTTATTTATACAAAACAGGGTATCCCAAAATGTCAGCCCAGGAAAGAAAAGAAGGGGCCATCTAGACAACATCAGGCTTTTATCTGATGATGGAACAGATATTTTAATGTTTCATCTCCATGTAACAGTATATTTTGTCCTTTATCCTTCAACTTCTAGAACCAATATCGTTATGAAATGATTAAATAGATTTGTAGAGAAAGCCAGTGAGAGTGGGGAAACAGAGTATTAGAGAGAGGAAACTGCGCATTAAATAATTATCCAGAATCTTTTGCTAAAAATATCTAGTTAAGATTTTTACATATATGTCCTTTATGTGGGAAACTATATTTTCATATAAGATTATGTATAAATACGTGGTTGTGGCATGACAATGCAGTGATACCGATAATGAAAACTTGGGTTATATTACTACTTTTTACATTCCTAATCTTTAAAGATTTAGTAAACCTGTATTTCTGTGCTCACTGTACAGTCTTTTCTAGAATGTTGAGCATTCTAATAAAAGTATAATTGTGAATAACTGAGTTCTACGTCTGTGCTCTCATATACACTTAGAGTTTTAATACTGAGTGAGCTATTAACAAGAAATTGTTTTCCATGCCTTCATTTTTCCTTTCTTTCTTTTTTCTTTTTTTTTGTTGTTGTTGAGACATGGAGTCTTGTTTCATGCCCAGGCTGGAGGGCAGTGGTGTAGTCTCAACACACCACAACCTCCAACTCCCAGGTTCAAGTGATTCTCCTGCCTCAGCCTCCCAAGTAGCTGGGATTACAAGCAGCTACCACTATGCCTGGCTAATTTTTTGTATTTTTAGTAGAGACGGATTTCACTATATTGGCCAGGCTGGTCTCGAACTCCTGACCTTGTGATCTGCCTGCCTACACTGCCCAAAGCTCGGGGATTACAAGTCTGAGCGCCAGTACTCTCGGCCCCATACCTTCATTTTTCATGTTAAGAGAGGAAACATTTTTTCTCTCTTTTAGTGGCATTTTTTTTTTTAAGAGAATGATAGCTCTGCATCTTTTATTTCAGACTCAGAAATTTCAGTCCCAGTCTCCAAATAGGTGTTCAATAGAAAACGCACACGCACACACACACTCTCGCTCTTCCTCTCTCTCTCTCTCTCTCTCTCTCTCTCTCTCTCTCTCTCTCTCTCTCTCTCTCTCTCTCTCTCTCTCTTTCTCTCTCTTTCTGTCTCTCTTTCTCCTCTTCCTCTTTCCTGCAACGTGCGGTTTGGGAGCTTGGGGTTTCTGTCTTCTTCCCAAGTTTCTCAGTGTCTGGGCTGGGGAAGGAGGGCCCAGGTCCCAGCAGGTACAGACGCTGCACCCTAGAGGCAGGAGCAGCAGGAGTCAGTATTTCCGCTGCTGAGGGAAGAGACTGCTCCCTGAGGATCGGAGTGGGGGGCTGGTGGGGCTGGGGTCCTCCGAGTCCAGGCTGAAGAGGTCCCTCCCAGTACGAAGGATCTGCTCCTCCAGCTTCTTGTGTCGCTTCATGTCCGAGAGCACCTTGTCCAGGCGGGCCTCTTGTTTCTGGCTCCGGGCTGAGCTTCCTGGGATGCGTCCCTGGTCAATCAGCGAGTCCTTCGGGGTCACTGGCTCATCATCAAAATCAAATTCCTTGGGCATGTGTGGTTTTTCCTCTTCCTCTTCTCTGGCCTCCGGCTCCTCATCGGATCTCTCCTCTTCGCTCTGAGCCTCGGGCGTGGGCGGCCGGCGGGGCAGGATCTCTGCTTGCAGCTCCAGGGTACCATGGGCAGCCGCTGGATCTCGGGGGGCTGGGGCATCCAGGGCCGCCC